AAAAAAAAACCTGCATGGCTCGGAATTTTCTCATGAAAACAACTGGAATTTTAAATTTCTATTGTATAAAAAATTCCAACATTCCTTTCTTGGTCTATGCTAGAAGTAGTTTGTATATGTTTTAATATTTTCCCCTGCCACTCAGTTCACTGTTCAGCAATATCATCTAGTTTGTACTTTATTTATAAAGTTTCAGTGTTGGAAACTTATTTGAAATTTTAATGTGGGACAGTGTTTGGGGCACACCTAACTTTTTATGCCCATTTGAGCAAAGTGGATTTTACTCTGATCTTTCTCACAGATACTGTATAGCAATGGTCAACTTTGCCACTTGCACTGAGTTTTGGATCAAACCTCATTTCATAAATGAAGTTGTGACTTCAGTATATTTCACATATTGTACTCATCGTTTTTTTCATTTTTTAAAATTCAGTAAAATGAGGGGGGGAAACCTCAGGAGTTGATTATGTAATGAATTATTAGTCTTGCCAAATATGGAATTCCTCTGATAGTGTGAATTGGGCATTTTCTGTATTTATCCTTTTTTATCTTTTTTTAAAAAAAATTTTTTTTTTCCAAATTAAGCATAATGGTAACTTGGCCAGTGTATATTACTAACACTGAGAACTAAGGCAGCTTTCCCCAAGTTGGACATGGTGATTGGGAATTCTGGAAGTTGTATCACAATGCATCTGAAGGATACCAAGTTGGAGAAGGATGGTGTAAGGCAAAAATGGTTAGATTCAGTGAACATGGTTTCATATCTATCAGTAAAGTTTGAATTAAGGTCTCCACTCCAGATCTTATTTGTATTAGTAATGTCTGTAACTTCTACAATGGTTCTACTGGTCTCACTGTATAATTCCACTTAATACTGCCTTAATACAGGTGTTAATTGCAGTGATATATGAGGATGTACTATTCTGACCTATACTGGCATCAGCTCAATCTGCTGATTCAGCTGCTCTGAGAAATTAAAAGCTGTGTCCATTCATAGAACTAGACCTACAATAGCAGTGTACAGAGAACCTTATTTAGTGCAATCACAAATCTTTAAAAATATACCCCCATGTCCAAAATAGAATGCTGTAATTTCCCCTTAGTTCACAAAATTCTGATCAGCATAGAACAGACAAAACTTTGAAACTATAAAAAAATTCACTCAACTCTAGCTGATTTGCCTCTTACAATGATTATGCAAAATTACTTCCAAACATAATAACTACTATTCATACTCAGAAAAACATTTGTCCTACTGAAGTACTATAAATGGAAATTATCTGAAAGGAGCTTTTACGTAATTTTCATGCATGCTAACAAGATTTATGCAGGATATTTCCTCCTGGTGGATTCGGTCCTTCTGTAATTTCTAGAGGTTACTTTCTACTTTTACAATGACATTCTCTGGGCTGTATTTTAAGGTGGCGTTTATCATTTACAGATTGGTACCATTTACCTTTACTGTATATCAGACTGTATTGGGTTACCATACACATTGTGGATGCAGACAGCTTTTCTGCTAACCACGGCAATGCATTCCTCCATGATAATGTTTACATTGAGCAGTCGGCGCTCAGCAAAGCAGCCTTGTTTTTCTATTAGAGGAATCAGCATCTTTTTCAAATGGGGGGTTATGCAGACAACTAACCAGTCCTGTTTCCACAGTAGACACCACATTCACTGCACCCTTCCTGCCAGCTAGGAAGTAGACACACTGCACATGCCACGTTTATTGACTGAAAAGGGAGGGGCATCCCTGTGTAGGATGGAAATACTATATTTTTAAATAAATATTATTTAAATATTAAGCATATGTGTAAAATGAATATACTTATTACTAACTCTCCATATATTTATCTAGGTCATATGGATACTAGTTCAAACTGTAGAGTGATGTTTTAGGTGGGAAGTCCTTAACTTACTTTGAAAATACAACTTTATATTAGAAGCTGACCAATAAATTCTTTGGGGTGAGGGGTTATGTAGATACGAAGGGTGTGCCTTGTAATCAGTTGACGTTGCAGAACCCTTCGCTGCTTTCTCGGAGAACTTAACTTCAGCGATACAGTCAGTGATGGAAGCTAGGACTTCAAGCAACATGTGAATTTCATTATATTTTCACAGCCAAGTAGGCAAGTGAGAATATTTTATTTTTATCCAGTTGGCAGTATTGTTCAAATACTTTTCAGTTTTAATATCTGTAAGTGACCTCCTATTCCTAGTTGTGTTTCTTGTGGATATACAATTCAGGATGTTCCAGATGGAGAACTCCTTTTACTATCAATCATTATCTAGCTATTTTATCTTTTCCTTCTGAACAATGAAAAAAGTGGTAGGGGAAAAAGGAAGAAATGGAAAGCATGATTGTATAGATCCCTTACTTCAAATAAAAATTCATAAGTAGGGCTAAATAATTGCAAAATAAAATCCTCATCTGGCAGCATCTCACATTAGATTCTAACCACTTGATGTGAAGATTTACCATTATACCAACTCATGTGCAAATGGTACTTTTGACTTCATTCTATTGGTTTACGTGTAACCGACAAAACATGTTCTACAGTTATTGTATTGACCTGGCTCTCTCACTGATTCGGAGCCTTTTCTTCTCCTTCTCCTTCTCTACCTCCTCCTCCTCTACCTCCTCCTGCTCCTCCTCCCTTTCTGAATTGTTTTAAAATCCACTGCTCTGTTGTTTCAACCTTTTTAGATTCTTTATGTTTGGCTCTTCACCGTTTAGAAGTGACCGATGTGTATATTGGCTTCATTGGACTCTCTATTGTGTATGGTTTTTCATAACTACATGTGACTCTTGGTTAACTTCAAGGGAGACAATTAGGAGAATTAGTTTCAGAACTGGATACAAATTGGCACATTTGAACTGCATTAGGCTAAAGGAAGATTAGAAAAAAAGAACTGACCAAAAATTCTGTTTTTAGATAAAAGTAAGTGTGCATTGTTCAGCAGCAGAGAACAATACTGTTGGTGGCTGTTAAGTCATGAGAGAATTAACGTGAGGTCTTGGCTTTACGTTCCCGTGCTAGTCAGCAGCTGCTTTTGCACTGATGCAAGGAGTGTGCAAGGAGTGTGCATTTAGACCTGTCCAGTCTGCCTCTTCTCCTCCTTTTTATTTGTCTTTGCTGTACTTTCTATTGCCAGAAGACCTCATTTCATTTAGGCACATTATGCTTTTGTCAGGTGAGTATTACACTTACATAAAATATTTACGTTCTTTAGGGGGTGCCTTGAATAAAGTTGAAGTTCGTTGAAACCTGATTCTGGAACAAAAGGCTAGTTTTTAAAAAAGGATTCAGTCAGATTCACAAGATATCCTAATATTTATGTCCTAGGCCTAATATTCGATGACTCAAGCATCAGACTTTGATGCTGTAGTATAAAACTATTATTTTATATATTACACAGTAAATTATTTGAAGTCTTTCTAAGAAATATATGCTGCTTTTTAAAGATGCACTTTTTTTGGATCTAATCCATCTATTTTTATTCCCAAGGAAGTAAAAATTGAAAAAAAAAAATGGACTACACAAGCCACTGTGATCAGTGTTCCCATTTCTGTCTCTGGAAAAGAGAGTAGGAGCTAAGCAAGCTTAAAATCAATTCAGCTGCTGACAACATAGCGGCTGAATATTACATTCGGCTTACTGCAAAATGGGCAATATCACAAAATTCCACAAAATCTAAAAGAATATTATTATAGGAAGTTCTAAAGAAAAGTGTTCAGAGGTTTTTGAGAGCTCAGAAATACTGCAATATTCAATCATTGTAGTTATTTCCATTTATGCATCACTGTGGTGTGAAAAGCTGCATGAGTGGAATGTCAGGGGTGTGGTTTTTTTCCCAGCTCTCTCAAGGGAAATTGATTTCTTCCTTAATCTCTTCCCTAAATAGAATATGATAACCCTCCCAGCAACTGGTTAAATTTGTTTTTTAACCTTGGCGTGCCAGTCAGTCTTTATGGCCTTTAATATAGGTTAATCTAATCCTGAAGCCGGTGGGTCTTTTTCTTTTACTGGTGACCCATGACTCTTGTATGTTCGTCTTTCAAAACCAACTAACAGACAGGTTTAGCCTACACGGCTACGGTATCCTTTGAGCAGCAGGCCTAGTGAGTAGTTTTGTCAAGCCTATGCAAGCATGAAATTCTCAACAATCTAGCTCAGACCAATGACTCCAAGAGGCAGTTTTCGCACGCACACAGAAGATCAGGATTTGTGTTTGTTTGATCTCTTATTTCACTGCCATCTCTTTAAATGTGTACATTTAAAAAGTTTGAGTTAGTGAAGAAAGATAAGAAAGGATGTTACTTGATGTAGCCTTAGGAAAGCTCTGCTAAAAAAAATGTGGTAGCTAATTTCTATCTACAATATAAAATCAGTATGTGTAATTTTGCTTGTTTATATTATGTATATTTATAATTGAATTATTTTGTGACACAGGCATCAAATAATGCTGCAGAATACAGTTGTACATATGTTAAATTCATTCGAACAATTTTATGTATATTAAAAATCTATAGTTTGGTGGATTGTAGGCTACTAATAAATTATTATAATTTTCTCTGGAAGTTAGAATGTCATTGCTTGCCGTGTAAAAGAATTACAGTATTTTCCTACACTCCACCAATATTATATATAGATAGATAGATAGATAGATAGGTATAGAGATATCAAAATAAAACTAGTGATATGTATTTGTTTTTAAATTATAATGCTCATGTGGTTCT